ATTAAAATGAATCAAATAATCAGATAAAACTAGTATACTTACAATATTAAGACGAATCAAATAATCAGATAAAACTTGTATATTTAAAATATTAAGACGAATCAAATAATCAGATAAAACTTGTATATTTTGTCTGATTAAGTTGGAAGACATTTGTCTGATTTGGTTTTATTAAATACTGAAATGTGGAACTTATACTACATAGTCCTACAGTGTATGATAAAATTAACACATACTTCTAACAAAAGATAATAATTACCACTGGAATATCAAAATTTTCTGGAAGTTTGTTTAAAATATCGGTAGCCAAGTCATTGATTACATCTACTGAGGACTGGCCTCCTGAAGTGCTTGATCTAGGCTGTGTCAGGAGAATTCCTTCCAAAAGCTACATTTTAAAACAAAGGAGAGGTCAACAGTTTACAAACTGACCAGAATATCTGAACAGGTTACAACCGAAGGACAAATCAAATCTTGAAATTAATTTTAGTTATAATTCATAAAAAATAAAACCATAAATTTTAATAAACAAAAAAGAAAATTACGCATTTAAAAAATTTCCAATTTTTGTTTTTACCTCCTGCATACCTCTTAACGTTTAATAATACCATTTTTTTTTTACTCACGGAAAGAATATTTTAAGTTTGATATACTTTAAATAAAACTATTTAAAACTCCCACAATGTTTCAATATAAATGAAAAAAATTCAGCCATTAAATATGTATACAAACTTGCTGGGTCTCCTGGTTGTCCTTAGTGATATCAGCATTGTCATGTAGACCAAAAACTTCTGGGTGGGGGTTCAGTGGTAGGCTACGAATGTATGTGATGTAGTTTTCATAATCACCAGTAACTGGTACATAATATATTCCGCTGTTCGAGAGCCTAGAATCAACAAATGACTTATAAATGTTTTCTTGATAAATACTCATTATTCAATTTCTGTTATGTATAAAAGACATTTTAATACTATAAATAAATGACTTATTAACACCAAGTTTGTTATACTTGTTTAATTAGACCACTCAATGTTTTGCTTTACGGTTTCTTCAGGAGCGTTTCACTAAAACACAACACTGTTATAAGACTGTTTCTTAAAATTGATTTTGTTTTGACCATACACATTCATTTTAGTAATGATACTCACTAAAGGGCAAGTTCTACTTAACTTAAATCACAGTCTGCAAATAAAGGGCAAGTTCTACTTTACTTAGATCATAGTCTGCAAATAAAGGGCAAGTTCTACTTTTCAAATCTTAGATTTTAATAAAAAAACCTTGTCTTCAAGTTGGGTCAATATGGTATAATATGGTTACTTAGTGAAACTCTAATTTTCATACATGTATATGTTGTTGTTTTTTTTTGCATGTAGCCTCAAGCATGGCAGAAACTCTTGTTTGGCCTTTGTTTTTTCCATGCTCTTATACAAGAGCGACGAAAGTTTGGCCCACTTGGATGGAACATTCCGTATGAATTCAACGAGTCAGATCTTCGTATAAGTATGACTCAACTTCAGGTATTTTCCCGAACCATCTTTGTGTTTGTTTTGACATCTTCACCAGCTTAATACAAAAAAGGTCACGTCATTATCTTTGAACTGAAAAATGTGTCAGATCATACATAAATATTTATTGAACATTTAGACAGCTAGACGGAAAGTGTACCACAAAACCATAAATTTCAGAAACAAAAATAACTCAACAGATGAATTTATAATAGCAAGCTAAGCTTTAAATGGATGTGTGATATGATACAATATCATTACATGTATGTTATGGTTTCCTTACCTGTCTCACTTTTTCTTCATCTTTATATGTATGGAATATTCTTTCAGATGTTTCTGAATGAATATGAAGAACTTCCCTTAGAAGCTTTATTTTATCTTACTGGAGAATGCAACTATGGAGGACGAGTGACTGATGACAAAGACCGCAGGCTACTGACTTCTTTGTTGTCCATCTTCTTTAATGAGGAAATTATCTTCAACGATGAATACAAGTATGTTATTGTATTTATAAAGAATACTTGCACGTATGCTGAATATCGCAGAATGTCAGTTGAAGTGGAATTATTGTTGTGGTGAAATAATGTCAAACGATTGAACTTTTTGGTTAATTATTTCCTGCCTGTGATGTTAAACACTATGTAATGTGTTTTTGAGTAACTATGTTGACTTAGAGATGACTCTTACATGTGGACACTGAAACTGAACGTATCAGTATGTAGCCATTGGTCCTTGTTATAAAATTCGATGATACCTCTAACACCGCAAAGACTACTTCTTGTATGAATGTTTTTTTATCTATCTTTTAAGTGTTTAATAAAACATTCAGTCGGAAAAATTGAGGACTATCACATTTTGCTAGGTCAAAAACTTAAACTATAGATGGAGACGGCTTGAATGATTAATGAAGAAAAACATTAATATTAGTTTAACATAACAGCAAATATACAACGTTTCAACAAGGTTTTGTCATCATCAGGTCATGAATGCACATGGTTACTAAAGTGAACACAAAATGATTGCACATAGTTACTAAAGTGAAGACAAAATGATTTTGCAGACTGTGATCTAAGTAAAGTAGAACTT